GGGAAAACAAGGAAGGGCCCCTTAATATTGAAAACAGGTTTATATTCACCATTTGGATTTGTAAAAGGGTATATTCTGTATATTAAAAAGGAGAATTAAATTGAAATAAGGGAGGCCTAATTAGAGTAAAGATATAATATGGTGATTTTTTATTTTAGGTAAACTAAATTAAGTATAAAGCTGCGTTATGGATCTGGAACCACCTTTAATAAAAATATTACTAGAAGACTGTTAATAGAAGAATTATTAGAAGAATTTTATATAATATGAGAGTAATATTATGATAGTGGTCATATTGTGTACTAAAATCTGTATGTGAATGGTTTGAATGCTTGAAAATGTTTGGAATTGGGGGGGACAACCAGGAAAACACTGAGATGTAAAAAATAAATAATTGTAAGCAAAATATGTAACACGATGTCTGATAAGCACAAAACAATGTAGATAGACCGGAAAACTAATAAAATGTTTAAAACAAAAACAGCGGGGAGCCATTTTGAGAGCTGCCGATCAGCTGTTTTTAGATAATTGTTTAGCGAAAAATTGGTTCCCAAAACAGGGACCCGATCGTTGTCAAGCAGATTTTCCCCATACAAACATCGATTTGCGATCGCTATAGTGATCACAAAATACTCATCGTCAAGCGATTTCATCGTCTTAAGAGGTAATCGTCAAGCAAGGCACCACCAGCCGTATGTAATAAACATATCTAGCTGCCTTTCACCATGTCAGTCCATTGATTATCTACCTCAGTAGTTTGCCCTTTGGCAACAATTATCACAGGTATGTAGATGAAGTGCTTAGTACTTTTGCTTCTGAATGTCCTTTTGACATGAAATGGTAGGGGTCTCATCTCAGATTTTTTTTATTGGTAAACAGTCAAAATATTGTGAGCTGCAGCCATTGGTCAGTAGATTTGAGGATTGTTACTCTTGGTGCAAATGAGTGTGAGAAGCATTCACAGATATATTCACTTCTGGAGCTCATTGAGGGTAGCTTCTGCTCAGAAGATGTTTTAGAAGAACTCACAGCTCACAGTTGACTAAAGTTAAATAATTTCTTGTATGATTACACTGCAAAAAGAGTAATAATAATAATAATCACTTTACAATGTTCAGGCTGGAATGCATGATAAAATTTCTCCTTGATGCCTGCTTGTAACCAGCTTCTCATCCTAGGGGATAATTTTTTTGTCCCTTTAAAGATTTCAGGCACTGTAGCAGAGAACATACTTTCTTCAAGGCAACCACTCAGCTGACCACTCAAGAATGGTGCTGTACAGCTATCTTACTTAGAATATTTACGGTGTACAAGGGACATAGCTGCTGTAGCAAATCAAATAAAACTTGCTTATAAATTCTAAGAATTTGTCTTGTATTCCATGGATGAGAGGCCGGAAAAATGTGTTTATCTAAATAGAATCTGACGAAGTCGTCTTTGAAAACTAGTGGATCAAATTTTGAGTTCTAAAAAGAACACCCCCCACTCCCACCCCTGCAATCAGCTTAGATGAAATGCCTAGCTAAATGGAAGAAGGCTTCTTTAGTTGTGGTGGACATGTCACTATCATGGTCACTGAACTCATAGCAGTGACTCCTGGATGTGTGTTGGCATAAAGACAGAGTATGCCTGTTTTGTGTATACTCAAGACAATGTTTGCCTGCAGTGCTGTTTCTAGGTGTCTGCTGATAAGGGCATGGATGTCCATCCCAATAGGTTGCCACTCAATGCTCATGAAGGGTGCCAGAAAATGACTGCAATATGTACTCAAGAAAGGAGCACTCTGGAGTGGTAATAGACTTTCCCTGCCAGTCAATAGGGACTGGATTTACAGGGAAAAATTGACTACAGATCCCATAATTCTCCTTTCTGGGAGTTCTGCTTGACAGACAGACCCCTTTGTTGTTGTTGTTGTTTAGTCATGTCCAACTCTTTGTGACCCCATGGACCAGAGCACACCAGGCCCTCCTGTCTTCCACTGCCTCTCGGAGTTGGGTCAAATTCATGTTGGTCGCTTCGATGACACTGTCCAACCATCTCATCCTTGGTCGTCCCCTTCTCCTCTTGCCTTCACACTTTCCCAACATCAGTGTCTTTTCCAGGGAGTCTTCTCTTCTCATGAGATGGCCAAAGTATTGAAGCCTCAGTTTCAGGATCTGTCCTTCCAATGAGCATGCAGGGTTGATCTCCTTCAGAATGGATAGGCTTGTTCTCCTTGCAGTCCAGGGGACTCTCAAGAGTCTCCTCCAGCACCACAATTCAAAAGCATCAATTCTTCGGTGGTCAGCTTTCTTTATGGTCCAACTCTCACTTCCGTATATCACTACGGAAGAAAAAAACATAGCTTTGACTAATCGGACTTTTGTTGGCAAGGTGATGTCTCTGCTTTTAAAGATGATGTCAAGGTTTGTCATTGCTGTTCTCCCAAGAAGTAGGCGTATTTTAATTTCGTGCCTGCTGTCACCATCTACAGTGATCATGGAACCCAAGAAAGTAAAATCTGTCACTGCCTCCATATCTTTCCCTTCTATTTGCCAGGAGGTGATGGGACCAGTGGCCATGATCTTGTTTTTTTTTTTTTTTAAATGTTGAGCTTCAGATTGTTTTTTGCACTCTCCTCTTTCATCCTCATTACAAGGTTCCTTAATTCCTCCTCATTTTCTGCCATCAGAGTGGTATCATATGCATATCAGAGGTTTTTGATATTTCTTCCAGCAATCTTGATTCCAGCTTGGGATTCCTTCAGTCCGGCCTTTCGCATGATGTATTCCGCATATGTTAAATAAGCTGGGGGACAATATACAGCCTTGTCATACTCCTTTCCCAATTTCGAACCAATCAGTTGGTCCATATTCATTTCTAACTGTTGCTTCCTGTCCCATGTATAGGTTTCTTAGGAGATAGATAAGGTGGTCAGTCACTCCCATTTCTTTAAGGACTTGCCATAGTTTCCTGTGGTCCACACAGTCAAAGGCAGGGTTCTCAAACATGTGGCCCACGGGCCATTAGTGGCCTGCCGGAGGATAGTTTGTGGCCTCCACCTTGCCTGGCCCTCCTGAAGCGCCCACGCGTCCTCTGCTGTCAGGAGTCAAAAAAAGCCTCCCCTAGCTCGCCAGCTCTTGCACCCTTCATCTGGAACTGCAGCTTGCCAGTCAGTCCGCCTGTCTGCCGGCTGGCAGGCTGCAGTTCAGGAGGGAGGGTGCAAGAAGTGCTGTCTTGGGGGAGAGCCAGCGAGCAAGGCGTGCTGCCACCGCTTTCCCCCCGAGCGCCCGAGCCAAGCCGCCAATGGCAGCTGCTGCCGCTGCCTCTTCCAGGGAAGTGGCTCTCTGGCCCTCTTTCTCGGCACCCCCAGCACCAGCCCAGCCAGCAGCCATCTCAGTGCCCGGCGGTGCTTTCTCCTCCTCCTCTTCGTCTGCTTGAGCCGCCTCGGCCCTGGAGGCTGCCTGGGCTGGCCTTGCAAAGTTTGTCCTGGTGGGGTTAGCTGCTGCTGCTGCTGAGTGCACCTTTTTTTGAGGGGGGCCCTCAGAGGAAGGTTTCAGGACCTCCGTGTGTGTGTGTGTGTGTTTGTGTGCATGTGCATGCACCTGTGGGGCTCCCCGCCCCATTCTGTTTAATTTTGCGGGTACCGGTGGGGGCTTTTCTCCTTTGGCAAGGCGAATTCTGTGAGGGTTTTAAAAAATATTTGTGTCATGCCCTCTTCCCCCCAGTTGCCAGCATTCCCTCCCTTCTCCGCTTCTTCATAGTGCTGCTGCTGGTGGTGGGGAAGAAGGAGCTGGAGGGGGTCATGGCCAGGTGATAAGGGCTCACACGCCCCCTTCTCCTCCTTGGAGCCCCAGCTGGGCTAAGGAAACTCCTGGGCGGCTTCCTCGGGCTCTTGCTCTGCTTGGCGGAAAATCTGATGCATCCCAGCCTCACCCAGACTCTGCCTCCAGCGGCCCCCAGGTAAATTGAGTTTGAGACCCCTGGTCAAAGGCGTTTGCATAGCCAATGAAGCAGAAATGTGGCTCACCTGAGAGAAAGGTCTAAACTGGAAGACTTTGAAAATTAAATCTGCCCAAGCTTCCTGTTCCTGCCTCAGTGCTCATTGGGAACTTTTTTTCTGGAATAGGAAACTAGGTGAAGCTAAGCTATCAGTCAGGTAGAATTCACAGAATGAGAATTATGGAATTTGTTGTTAAAAACATCCCTAGCAATCATATCACAGTGCTGAGTTGTACATACACCACAGCCTAGGTAGCCAGCTGTGGTCCATCCTAGTCCAAACGCACATACGTATGTGTGACATGTCACTTAAAACTCTCCTCGCCAATGTACTCTCTAATTTTCAGCCCCACTGGGTGGGGCTCCACCTCTCTCTTCACCCCTGCGTGCATGTGCAACTCCACCCCCCATGCGTTGGGTTCCATCGTGACCAGAATCTAACACTGTCGCTGTGTGGAGGAGGAAGACAGCTGCGTGGAGGGAAGCAAAACTGTGCATGCTCGTGCTCGCGCCCAACTTAGCAGGATACCTTGCTCCTCGCTCTCTATGGCAATTCCGGAGACTCACAGATTCACAGCAGAACTGAAAGGCTGTGTTAGAGAAGTTTCAGATTTTGGAGCTATCCGATTAGTCCAGAGGCCAACCACATCATCATCCCTGACCTTACTCTTAGCTAAGCACATACATAAATCACCTTGTGGGATTGTGTCTAAACTGACATTGCCTGGATTCTTCCATGGTAGAAAGGACTACAGTGGTTATTACTGATGAGGAAATGTTGCTCTTTCTATCTACTGAGTTTTCTTTTGTGGTGGTTGTGTCTGCTGCACATGTAGTTTCCTTTTCTCCTCAGGTGTTTCATTTGTAGTATGTTTTTAGGTTGACAGAGTGTGGATACTTTGAGCACAAGGTGCAATCTCTGTACACTTTCTTTTGCTCCTTTGTGGCTCTGAGAACAAAGAGAGAGGTTTTTAAGACATGGAGGTTCATCTAAAGCCATAGATCCACTTCTTTGAGTTCAAAATTCATTTTAAATTACAGTGGTGCCTTGCTTAACGATTTTAATTGGTTCCAAAAAATCATCGCTATGGGAAAACATCGCTAAGCAAAACGCGGTTTCCCATAGAAATGCATTGAAAACCAGATAATCCGTTCCAATGGGAACGGATTGCCGTCCTTAAGCAAAAATCGCCATAGGAAACATCGCTAAGCGAAACGCGGTTCCCCAATTGAAATGCATTGAAACCTATTCAATGCATCTCAATGGGGGAAAAATTTTACAACAAATTTAAAAAGAGTCGGAACAAAGTCAAATTAGTTTAACAAAGGGTTTATTAAGTGCACTTATGATTTCAAGCATTCTAAACAGTTTTTAAACATTTTTAAACATATAAAAAACAGCCAACATGAGACGGTCAAAACCATCATTAAGCAAAAGAGGGGAACCCAAACTGTCATCGCTATGCAATGCATGGTCCCAAAGGTTGCTATGCGAAAATCGCCCATAGGGAACATCGTTAAACGGAGCGCAAGATCGCTCAGAAAAAGCCATTGCTAAGCGAATTCGTCATTAAACGAAGCGCTCGTTAAGTGAGGCACCACTGTATTCCTAACACCATCAGTGTCTCCTTCGAATCCAGAGTTGCACTGTTGTGCAACTGAATCGACTGAATGAAACAGTGAATTATCTCAGATGTTTTTGAAGCTTATTTATGTTATGTAAATTATGTTACTGCTTAACGTATGGGCAACTTGCAGCCCTCCGGATATTGCTGAACTGTTGCTTTCTTCACTATTCAGCTACTGTATCCTGAATGGGCTGCTTGTAGTTGCCCAGACTGCCTCACTCTGAGTTAATGCTTTATTAAATTATGAAGCAATGAACACAAATCCCAATTCATGACTAAAGAAACTCTGTCAAAGTTAGCTGAAGCCAGCATAGACTGATTTCATTTTATCCTGAAAATATTCTTCATTCACAAGTTTCTTAAATTGTTCATTTCCTGCCCATTCTCCCCCCTTTTCCTTTCCTTTTTTTTTTTTTTACAGAGAGAGCGGCTGAGAAATATTGAACGAATCTGCTTTCTTTTAAGAAAGGTAAGAAATAACCCATATAGGTTGTGTGACGTTTGAAAGGATTGGAACCATCATGTTCATGCTACTTGAAATAGTAGAGGTCCTTCTTGTATTGACTTCACTGTGGAAGTGATAATGGCAGAATGGAAATAGAAACTGAGGTAACATTTGCAAGAAAGGAGTGAAGCTAATTACAAGGGATTTGCAATCAGTCAATAATGTCCTGAAAAGAAATGTACTTTTTGGAACACCATCTGGTTCAATATTATAGAAAGTATCACCTAAGCAACGGGTGGTATTGAAAGGCATAATTTATATCTGACATATGACCTTATACCTTGGTGTGTAAAGTTCTCCCTACATTTATAATTATATAATAAAAATTTGATATATGTCAGATTCCTTATTATGTACCCCACCTTAGACTTTCAAATGCACTGAATTGGCTTTCCAAGCTGCCAGTTCAAAGCTGGATTCAAAGAGCTTTACTAGAAGAAAGAACTTGCACTGTCTTCTGTTTCTGCCCCTAGAATGGCAGTTCATGTTTCCTCTCTGTGCAAGTGCTGAAGCAATAATTATTCTTTTGTTACTTTGGTACTCTAATCTAGTAGCCTCCCCTCATCCTCAAATAGCATGGTTCCCTCCTCTGTTGTTGTTTTTCTAAATAGGGCACCAGGTTAGAAAAGGTTGCTCTTGTCATTTTAAATACTTGGTTTTCTAAGGAGTGCTTCTCAAATTAGCTGCACAGCAGTGTCCAAATGCTGTGGAATATATAACACTTTTTAGCACTTCCAAAAGCAAACTCATTGCAGATAGATATCATATACGCACCTGCTCATCACTGGAAGCCAGTGTTTCCTCCAACCACTGTAATTTGCAGAAATGTGCTGAGCTTTTCATACAGAGATCTTTATCATTTCTTCAGATCTTCAAACTTCGTTTCTGTTTCCTTTTTCCATACATACAACATGGCAGTGTATGTGGATAACTTTAATTTTTTCCTGGCACCCCAATTCCGGTACTGTGTTTTGTTTTGCTTAACCCTGATTCCATTTTTTTCCTTCTTAGGTTTCCTTCCTAGGGTATGAATTGCAGTGGTGCCTCGACTTACGGAATTAATCCGTATTGGAACGGCGGCTGTGGGTCAAAATTTCCGTAAGTCGAAGCACAATTTCCCATGCATTGAAAACGGATTAATCCGTTCCGGCTGAAGAAAAAAATACCACCCCCAAAAAACAAACAAACAAAAAACACTGCAAGCCCCTAGGCCTGCAAAAAAACAAAACAAATCTAAAAATAAATGTAAACATAACCCAATCAGCCCAATCCCACCCTGCAAAACCCACCCAAAACAGTAAAAATGTAAAAGCAGCACCTTACCTCCACTACTTCTTCCCGGCCCTGGCTCCACCGCCACCGCGGCCACCGCCGCCTGGAGGCTTGAGCCTGGCCGGGGTGCTTCGGCTGCTCACCCCTGGCTTCGGTGGAGGTAGCGGTTGCCCAGCACCTGGAGGCTTGAGCTGGCGGGGTTTCTTTGGCCACTCACCTCCCAGCTCACCACCGGCTTGCTCTGTGCCACCCTCCGTGTGCCCATGGCGGGAAATTCAAATGGCAGAGGGCAGCAAGGAGCGAGCGGGAAGTGAGCTGGGTGCTGACACTGCCAGAGCACCCAGAAGGGTCAAGCCTCCTGGCTCTGGGTCACCCCTACCACATTCCTTTCCATAACTGTTGGGGCAAAAGATCTACAAAGAAGCAGCCTCAAAGAAGCCACCATCAGTTAGTAAATTTTAATTTCTCGCCCTTTCCCCCTGCCTTTTTCCTCTCGTAAGTGGAAGCTCCGGCCTCAAGTCGAACCAAAATTTTGCGGCTGGAGCTTTCTGTAACTCGAAATTTTCATAAGTAGGGACGTCTGTAAGTCAAGGCACCACTGTATCAGGAAGCAGCTTCATTTCGTTCTTCTGTTAGTAGCTCACCTTTCAAGTATCAGTGAATGGTAAGGTGAAATATAATCCAATAACTGATGAACACTTATCTGTCCAGGTGATATAAATGGATGTGCTGTGGACAAATTTAGCTCTCTCACCTTGAAATCAGTGGAGTTTATATATTCCTAATTTCACTTGGATCATGCCCATCCTCACAAAATGCAGTCACAACATACATAAAACTAGGAATGTAGGCTAGTCAGTTACATCATTTCCAACATGAAACAGATGTGGCAATAATCATAGGATGTATTTTACCCATAAATTGCATTTGCCCCAGGTTGATGTAAACCCAGAACTGCTTCTATGGAACTTCTGTTCAGGTGATGACTGCTCACATGAAAGCTAACAATGAGGGGACATAGGCATACCTGAAATCCCCACCCCCAGTGCATTTTACCTTCCTGTATCAAGCTGGGAGGTGCGCATTGGCCTGAATGTACAGTATCAGGCAGTGCATCACAGCCTCTCCCAGTTTGAAAAGACCTTTGTTCAGCAGGCTGAGGCAAAGAGGCAGTCATGAAACCAGCAAAATCAGGGAGCTAGACAGGGGACAGATTGTATTTGTCTTCAGTGTGGAAGGGATTGTCACTCTTGAATTGGCCTTCTCAGCCACACTAGACACTGTTCCAAGTCCTCCATACAGAGCATGTTACCATTGTCTCTTGAGACTGAAGGATGCCTAATCTAACTGTAGTAAGAAGCACACAAGTTAACTGATTGTATACATATGGTGCAAGGTAAATGGGAGGTAGAGGAGAAAAAGGAATTGGATCAATAAAAATCCATCCAAAGAATGTAGACCATGAGTGGGAAATTTTTGTTTCCTTCAAGAGCTGGAAATCTTTGGAAGTAGGCCTGTTCCACATATTGATTGGTTAGCAGTGCTCTTTATTTTGTTTAGATGCATCATCAGCCCACAGTGTTCCTCTCTGTCTTACTAAATCTGAAGTGAGAAATACTGTGGGATGGTTATAATTTTAAGAAAGACTATGCAACAGGAGAAAGGGGAAAAGGTGGGATGATAATCTTATGTTGTGTCTCTCCTTCTGAAACACATCCTCTCATCTCCAGCTATCCCTTCATGAGCATACATGTGCACACACGCATGTGCATGCATACGCACACACTCACACACACACACACAGATTCACTTTCCAAACACACATATCTGCCCACACTCTTCCCACAAGAGATCTCGACTGAAAGAATTCATATTGCCAGATCCTCACTTTTAAAGCACTCAGCTCTCCTCTCCTGAATGATGAGGGGTGTACCTGACTAGGTGTGCTTTTTGAAAGAATGGGTCCAAACTTTTGTCCACTTTCAAAGCTCTCTGTGCTTCCAGACCAAGTATGAAAGGAAAAGACCCCAGTCAAGAAATGTTCTTGTCAACATACAGTGGTGCCCCGCATAGTGACGTTAATCTGTTCCGGATTAAGCGTCGCTATGCAAAAACATAGCTAAACGGATGAAAAAACCCATAGGAATGCATTAAACTTCGTTTAATGCGTTCCTATGGGGCCCCAAACTCACCATTCAGCGAAGTTCCTCCATAGCACCACCATTTTCGCGCCCTCAGTAAGTGAGGGCAGGGTGCGAAAATGGTTGTGGCGGCCATTTTGGGCATCTGGTGGCCATTTTGGAACCGCAGATCAGCTGTTTAAAAAAACATCGCAATGCGAAGATTGGTAAGTGAAACGCTTACCGATCATCGCAATGCAATGTTTTGCCATTGAAAACATCACAATGCGATTGCATTAGCGATCTGAAAAAACAGATTGCTATGTGGATTTGTCGTTAAACGGTGCGCTCGTTAAGTGAGGCACCACTGTAGACAGGTTGGAGTCAAATGGGTCAATGGCCTACCTTAACTTCCAGTATTCTTTCAACTACAAGAGACAGGTTCTTCTAGAAATGACTTTACTTTGTTACTTGCTAATTCAGCAACCTTCTAGTTTCAAGTTGTGTCCCAGTTTTTAGAATGTGAAGCCAGATACAGGAGTAATTTTATTAATATATGTGTGTGGCCTGGAGATGTCTTATTTGCATCGGTTTTTATTGAGCCTAAGTAATCTTGCTAACAGTAGAAATCACACCTTTTGGCTAATTACATGCAGCTTGCTTTTTACACATTTAAATTGTTTGTTAATGCAGCCTTTCTTACAGAGGTCTTTAGGGATATATTGCTTTTAATTGGGTTTTGTGCTTGGAGGGGGAAGAAAGACAGGATAATTCAACGGGAAGGCATTATTCATGGCAAGACAGTTGCTTACAATGCCTTTTGTCTATGTAGCAATTCTGAAATATTTATGGTTAATGGAAAAGTTTTAGGGAGCAATTAGAACACAAAAGTAGTTTATGAGCAAAGAAAAAAAATTACTGTGCAGTTTTCAACGAAGTCCTAAAGGTATTTGGCCTCCTTATATTACTATTTTCTGTGTGATTTGGACAGTCAAGTATTTTGTCTGCTTCTTTCTGGAGACCTCTGTTGGAAGAACTATTTGAAAATGAATAGCTTGGAAGACCCCTTTCAGAAACAAAGAACTATCCTAATGAATGATTTTACCTTAGTGTCATTAATTAATTGTGTGCCTGTCAGGTCGATATTGGGTCATGGTGACTCTTTTCAGGGTTTTCTAGATAGATAGTAGTTTTCTTCTGGGCACAACCTGGTTGTGCAGCCTGTCCAAGCCCGCAAAGGCTGCCTCTTTGTCCAGGATGCACAGTGGGGAATTAATCTCCCAACATCTGGATCCACAACCAGATACCTAACTTATGAAGCTATCCAGCCAGCACCATTAGTATCATTAGGTGTCTTCTGTTGGTTCATTCTATAACTGTTTAAGAAACTGGAATGTTTCTGTTCATTCTGGACATCATTAGGAATGAGATGTGACTGAGTTGATGGCATCACCTATCAGAAAAAACTTTTTATACTTCACAACTTTAAAAAACTGCTAGAGAAGCCTTGTTCTATATTCAATCTAACACTCCTAATAGACACCTTTACCTGAAAGGTATTTTTTCTGTCGT